CTAAATTAAGACAGTTTCATCCATTTTAGCTGCCCTCTCCACATCATTTTTTTCCAGCTCCATAATTATGTGGACTACTTCCTTTTCCTTCCCTTGAAAACTGATGCCCAAAGCTTTACCCATCTCCACTGTCTTTCGGGCTTCCTGAGGGCCTTGATCTTCTTCCTTCTCTGCCTCACAAGCCGCACTTGACCGAGATAAAACAGCCGCAGCAACTCTGAATGCAGGTCCTTTATGCCACACTCCTAGAGCAGATGGTCCGCCAAATCGACCTCCCTTTCCCTGTTTCCGAGCTAGCTTGCCACTGTCTCCCTTCAACCTGGGCAGCAGAGCTTTCCCCTTCCCTACTGACTTGCAATGTTGAAATTTCATCCCCTTCCGATCCACATTCTGGCCCACCTCCTGGCCTAAATCCATTAAGTCCACACTCACAACTTCTGGGTTGGGCCTAGACACAACCTCTTTGTTTTGGGCCTCCTCTAAAAGTACTTGAATTCGAATCCCAGGCCTCTCAAATCCAGATCCACTTATACTTTTCATAAACCCAGGAGTCACAATTTCCTCATCCTCTCCCTCCCTCTCCTTACACCCCCTCTTATTTACCGATGCAATATCAATATCTTTTCCACTGTTGCATGCTTCTGCCACTTTTACATTCCCCATACTTGGAATGATTGTTTCTCCCACTAGCGACTGGGATGAATCGACCCCCTCCCACTCACCTGACCCTTGTATGCCATGCGTCCCAACATCCTTCTGCAAAGCTGCCATGCCATTCCTCTTCCGGACAGACTGCTCACCAGTATCTGCCACTGCAACTTGCAACTCTCCTTCCACCTCAGCCACCTCCTCTGCTACTGGTACACCATTGCTGCCAAACCTGTTCTCCAAATTGTTTGAGCTACATCTTTCATGAAGAGAGCACTTACAGGTTTCTGAGATAGTTTTAGTTACCCTAACTTGTTCCTCACAAACTCGAACTGGATAATTTCTTCCCGAACACCTCACCTGAATCACTGAGTTTATATACCCCATATAAGAGGTAACAATTTTAATTCTGCCACATTTGAAAGATAACTGGTTGGTTGTCTCCTCATCCAACCTGATTACCTCCCCCCATAATCTCCCAATCTTGTTAAAGGTGTCTGGACTCCATAGATTAAGTGGAACACCATAACAACTCAACCAAACTCCACGTTCTTGCTCTATGTGCCCGAACTTCTTCCATACTGAAACTGATTCGCACCAATCATGCAAGCAGTCCTTTAGTATTGGTGCATTCTCCTTCATATCTTCAGATGATTTAAATGACACCACTGCCATTCTTCCTCCCCCCCTCCTAACCAGCATTTCTGCTGATCCTTTTTCCATGACTGCTTTTCGGAAATTTGAAAATGAGTAATAGCTTTTCAACTTGACAATAAAGCTATCATATAGCCATCCATTCCCTGCCTCATGGGCTACGACCGAGGGACCTACACTTTTGTTGCTATCTCCCAGCTGCACAGCTTCTGCATATGACCGATAGCCTATGCTTGTTTGAGCTTTTTGGCTCTTTTGCCACCGAGAGCCTTCCTCCTCTCTTCCAGATCCTTTCCCTGGTTGGCCATCTTGCCGTCCTCTGCCACCTGCTGCTTTCTTTTCAAACTCTGCTTTCTTAACTCTCAAGGCTTTATCGTCACACCACAGGCCATTAGCTTTTTGGATTGCCACTTCAGCAGCTACAGGACAATCGTACCTGACAAAGCCAAACCTGGACCGCGTAGATTTCCTTAACTTATTTGGAATGAATACATCTCGAACAATTCCAAACTTCATAAACAGATCATTGAGCCCCTTCGAGCTCAAAGATGAGGGAATATTGTCAACAAAGATTGTGTGAGTACCAGCTCGGCCTCCATCATGGCTCTGCGAATGCTTACCCTTGCCATATAGCACTGGTTTCCACCCTCCTCCTACCATAACACTCTTCTTGCTTCAAGAAAGAATATATGTAGTTGACGAGAATGGAGATTTTGAAGTCTCAAAGGCGTATATGCAGTGGCACTGAAATTTGTGGTCTTGGTATCCAATGTTTTAAAAAAGCGCGCAAGTGAGGTGCAATGAGGCGCAGCCTTGCGCTTTGAACATGTCAAGGTGAGGCACAATACACAAGGCACAGCTTAAGCGTTGAGGCGAGGGCATTTTTTGAGGCGCGAGGTGTGGGCTTTATTGTCATTACCTATTTTTCTACTTCAACTGCTGATTGAATGTTTTTTTTTTTGCATACTCACAGGGATTCAAAACTCTTCAATATAAAATGATCAAACGTGGTCAAAAGAGAGCAGAAAGTAATAAAAGATTGAATGTTATGCTTTATATCTTTTGTTGGATATTGTATTTCTAGTTTTTAGGAGATTGAATGTTATGTTTAAAGATTATCAGAAATGGTTATGATTTTTGAAATTCTATATATATTTGTTATGTTAAACAGTTTGACTATTTTATAATTTTGCTTTCTTCTACTACTTGTGCTTCGCTTTGGTGAGGCACGCGCCTCGCGCTTAGGCTATAGGAGACCTTATTGCCTCGGTGCGCCTAGAGCCTTTTCAAACATGTTGGTATCTGATGCCAAAATGATTTGTGTGCCTTTTGAATACTGTTGAAAACCGAAATGCAATATAGCTACGCAAACAAACACGTTATATTACTTAATATGTATGATGTGGTAAAGATTACTCATGTTGGTTACTGTAGAATATAATGGCTCAAATATAGTTGCTTTGAATGCGGTGTCACTGAGAACTCCTTTCCTCTCTATGCAGCATATTCGAATTGAAGATATTAGGAATGATGAGTGGTTTATAAGGGGTTATGTTCCTGTCAAACTTATTGAATATGAAGATGTTAACCTGGATGACATTAATACGGTTTTTGATGATCCTGAGGTTCGTGTTACTTTTAATTTCTGCTTCTCTTGCATATCATTTGAAATTCTACTAAATAATAGAAAGGGTTCTAGAATTTGTGCTTTAAGGAAAAATTAGTGCCAGCAGTAATTTGCTCCTAGTAATGAATCTTCCTTCTCTAGGTTGCTTCTGCCCTGAATCCACAAATTGGCTAATTAGGTGTTAAACATTCTTCAATCTAGGTCTTCTCTGTTCAGTGTAATATTTTAGAACTTGAAAGATAGTGTGTTGCCTATAAACTTCAATACTTCTAAGCAATCTGTAGGATGTGGTTGTCTGCATAGAATTCTCTCACAATACAACAGCTTCAATGACCACCCACAACCTTCACAAAGCTAAGTTTTTGCTTTGCAATACAGACCAAGTTTTCATTTATTGATAAATGTGCATAAGCACATATTAGATAATATATATATATATATATACAAATTTGACCATTATAAATGCACCAAAATTTAAAATATTGATATACCTTTTTGCATGCATACAAATGGCATTTAGAAGTCCAAGTACTTTAGAGAACAGTTATCTCATGTTTACACCATCACTCTGGATCTTTCTCCCTTTACATAGGGCATATTGTTTATATAATCTAGATGTTAAATTATTTTAGGCCGGTGATTTTATGCCTTGTATAAAATAAAGAGGACACCTGTGTTTCAGGTTTTTTGTTGGAAGTCGCTGGTATTTATGGGTTTGCCTAACATTTGCCACGCATTCATTGGTTTTTTTTTTGTAGGAAGAACCAGTTGATGAGCCATGCAGGAATGAGGACGTGCGCTCTCTGGCTCTTAATGCCTTTGACCTAATTATTCTTTCTCAAGGCTTAAACCTTTCAGCACTTTTTGACCGTCGACAGGTATGAGTTATGAGTTTGTTAATTCCACTTGAGTCATTTGTATTTGACTACCAAGCAATCATGATCAAACTTGTGGTTTGTTGTTTTCCACATCTAATGTTCCACTTGCTGTCAGCTGCTAATATTTTTCAAACTTGCCTACTCTTGGTACTGCCATTAGGAGTGTGTTGCCATCTCATCTCATTTTTGTCACGTTAAACACTATTGAGCCCAATTTTCAATGTCATCCTGTATTCCTTTATGATTTCATTTTATATAGCTTCATGATTAGTTCATATGTTTGAATTTTTTGCCTACGCTGCATCAACACGCCTTGTTTCCTAGAAACCAGCAAAAGTGGTTTTGTTAAGTATGGAAGTTGTTGCACAATTGATAGGTTTTAAGACACAAATTCATAATTACAAGGTAGACCACTTGGGAGTTTCCTATGGTAATCTTGTTTAGAACTTTGGTAAACTTGACCAATTTCATGCTAATTGCCTCTTATTTTGATGCCTCGAGGAATTGATTTACTGTCTAATTAACATTTGGAGGAGTCCAGGCTATATTTTAGTTTGTCTTATTTCTTGTTCATTCCATGGGTAGCAATCTCACCAAAGTAGTCCTGAAAATATAGAACGGAAGCTATTTCTTTTCAATTTTTTAATTTTTTAATTTTTTTTAAGATGAGGGTGGAAGGCCTTTCAGCAAACAAAACTTCACATTTTTCAGTCATTCTCGAAGTACGTTCTCACCCCGTCATTCTCGAAGTACGTTCTCACCCCCGAACCTCTATAATAATTTTTTTCCAAACATTTTATAGTTTCTAATTCATTTTTTAAACAGGTATTTCAAGTTGCTCCTACATTCTTCGTGGTTGATTTTCAAAAAGCATCTGGAGATGCTGGTGAATACCTCAAGGTCAGTTGCTCCATTTGTTCCAGTTTGTAGATGTGATTCACTGCCAAAAACTGAATATATTTTGCACATGAATACAGCTCACATTTTTTAGCTTGCCCTTGCTCGACATGATTATTATGAAAAAAGAAAGAGTAGGTTATTTTAGTCACTGAGATTCAGCCAATTGAGTTTTATAATCTTCTGTGTTCAGTTTTACAAAAATTTTTGTGAAAATCTCGAGGATATCTTCTGGAAGCCGCTTAATGAATCCTGCAAATTAAGGATTACCAAGACTAAGAGCAAAAGGCGATAATTTAGTTTTCTTCCACGTTAACAAGTAAACTATGTTTGCTGTTATACAAGGTGATCTTTGTCTTCCAAAAACTACCATCAGGTGTTTCAACCTTGAGGTTACAGCATTGATTCGGGTTACATAGCCCCATTGGCCGTGATCTCCACCCTCTGAAAGAAAAAAGGGAAATAGTATCTTAATCTTTCTATATTAGGGTTGTAAATCCCTTTTGAGCTGAGTTTTCCCAATTCTTACCATTGTAATACCATTTTGCAGTTTGACATGAATGACTGAACTGTTCTGCCTATGGTGTTTTCCAATTCTTACCATAATAATGACATTTTATAGTTTGAAATGTATGAGTTTACCATATTACTATTTTGTTATTGTTAAGATGAAATTAACCTTTTACTTTAAATTCTTCTTCTACCAAAAAGTCTATTATAATTTATTTTTTATTTTTTTAATTTTTGAATATTACCTTAGTAGTTTCATCGAAACATATGTTGAATGTTTGTTAAAAGAAAAAATTCACTACATAGAATTTCATATGCATATTAATTTGAAATCGATGAGAGGATTTTGAAAAATAAATTTTATTTAAAATGTACATCTAAAAAAAGTCATTATATGAAAGGTTTGGAACAATTTTAAAACAAAAAGTTTTGTGAAACACTCGACTCTAAATATATACAGGGGCATTTTTGCAATTTGAACTATGTTTCTCTTTTTTGAGAACCAACTATGTTTACTTAAGTAAGGGACCTTCCATGTAAAACTTATATTTGCATAAATCAATAAAATCTTATAATGAGGGAGCTTTGACACTCTCATAGATTAACTCCCATGGCACAAGTGATAACGGTCAATTAAATTATTTTTTTCCTTTTCAAAAACAAATAAATAAAGAAATCAAAATGAAACAGTGAACAAAGTTGTAAATTTACATATTTGACCAATCAAACATACAGTATATATCCCAATCATCTTACAACACTATACTCAACATACATATGTGGGAACACCATTAAACAGACTCTTACACAATCAAATAGAGATTAGAATTCAAACACCGTTTCTAAAACACCAAACAAACAGAAACCTGTAACATGTTCTGATAGAACCAAATATAAACTAGGTACTTCCATGACTCTGACCACCACTTGAAACCCAATCCAGGCCCTTACTTTAAAACAGTAAAAGTGGCTGAACTTTTAGAACCTTAATTTTAATTAATAAAGGGTCTTACCTTGCTGAATCTCTATCACCTGCTCTATAATCGTTCTCACTTTGCATTTTGTTTTTGTGGATTCTACAGTAGTTCAGCACTGAAGTTTTACGCATGCAACAAGAAATTGCAAGGCTCAGGGAGAACCAAAATGCAAAGTGAGAACGATTATAGAGCAGGTGATAGAGATTCAGCAAGGTAAGACCCTTTATTAATTAAAATTAAGGTTCTAAAAGTTCAGACACTTTTACTGACTAAAATAACAGAATCAAGATCCTTACCATTTCCTCTTTTCCCATCTTGAGATAACCAGAAGAAAACAAGAAAACTAATCAAAAAACAAAAATAAGAACAATTTTCTTCTACTTAACAAAGTCACAATTTTCGTATCCAATGATATCTAAAACCAAATGAATGTTGGTAAAATGAAAACAGTCTCAAGGGTTCTTTTGTGAAGGCAAACACTCTTGCCACCATTGGCCCTTGTAATGCTCCAAACCCTTTTCTGTTTCAGCAAGCCAGTGGCCACAAAAGAATCTGTTATAAGTTAAACTTTACCTTTCTAATCTAGTGATCTAGGAGTTATAAAGGTTGAGCCTGGGAGGGAATACATTGCAAATAATACTTCTATAAAAGAAGTTTGCAACTCTTTGAAAATTCTCAATTTTGGAAGTACCATTACTGAAATAGATCTAAAAATTAACATATGTATTTTGTTGAAGAATGATTTTATTAGAAAGCATTTAATAATTTTAATAAAATTTATATGATATTGTTCAAGTAAAAAAAATTGAAAGTCGTGGACGAAATTTTGACCATATAGTACTTCTATCTGTGTAAATGCAATCTAATTTAATCTCTACACCACTTTAAACAAGTGGTTGGAAGTGGATTTTGTTCTTATTATTGTTGAGGACTAAATTTTGACTAAGTTAATAGGACACATGTGATGGGACTTAAGGTTTGGTTTGGTTTGATTTTTAATAGGACACATGTATCCTGTTTTATAATAACATGATTAAAGAAAGAATAAAGGTAGATTTCCTGCTAAAATATAGGAAACATGTTTTAATTAAAATCACATTTTCTATTAAATAAATCTACAATATGTACGTTATGTCATTCAATTACAAAAATAAATGTTGATATGTATTACCTGCTTGGCTCCAAGTCAGATTCTTGAAGTCTAGACTTAACATCTTCTATAGCACGGAGAAAGTGGTTCATTGTTACTTTGAAATCATTCTTGACATTCTGTAGTAATCCATTCTCCCCTGTGTGGACCACAGCATATGAATGTGCACGAGCATATGAATGTGCACGAGTGACTAGAGATGCAAGGGCAGAGCCACTACAGCCATCCGTCCTACAAGCTGTGCAAACAAGCACATGCACAATCTCATTTCATAAATGATGATTTGATGTTTCCACTTACACAACAATATTGCTCAAACAACTTACTAATTTCATGAAGATTCACATCTTTATCGAGTACAAAATTTTGTCTCATGTTCCTTGTGTTGATGCCCAAAATTTGCAGGCGCCCTTGCTCATCTAGGTACTCTACTTTGACATGTAGTTCGATTCTACCTTCCTTACAAACAAATACAATAAATAAAGTACTTTTTTTTATTGAGTTAGGAAAATGAGAATAAAATAAATAGCTATATATATATATATATATATTTGTTTGGTTACCCATAAAAGATAAATAAGTTTAAATAATTTCATTTTTCTTTACTTGATAAACTCAGAAATTAAACATACCATTCGAGTTCAAAAAATGTGGGACATTGTTCAAAAAGAATAAAGAAATCAGCAAAGAACAACACAACGAAGAGAAGGTTACCTCAACAGGGCTTCATCAATGAGCTCCTTTCGATTTGTAGTACCAATAATACAAATGTTGTTCAATACTTTCGGGCCATCAATTTGAAAGGCATGCAAATTTTCAAGTATTGCCTAGACATGGAGAAATAATAAAAATAAAAAATTGAAAAATGAAATTTGAGAGATATTAACCATTGCAAGTAGTTAGCTTATAAGCCTATCATCCATATGGTGTAATCTCATAGCTGCCCCTCTTTTCTGCGATAAAACCAAGAACACATTTAAGACATGATTTGCAATATACATATGGAACCAAAGAAGATCACGTTCACTCTCTCTTAATGCTTATGATTACTTTCTCATTGTTGCCTCCTCTACCCTTTGTTCCTTGTTAGGATTTTTTTATCCTAAAGAAATTTAAGATTTATGTTTTGGCAATACCTCTCTTGACAAAACTTAATATGATGATTTTTGCTTCAAAGTGTTTTTGTTTTTATTATTTTCTTGTTCATTATCTTCTCATACATTAACATGATTCATGATGCTTGTCAAGATATGGAGATAATGTTGTTGAATTTTTGAGTTTGAAAATGGCAACTTTGCGATGCTCAAATTGGCTGTTTGTCTCATCTTTTTGGTGTCAACACATGGGTGAAATGATAGAGCTTCACATGTGTGGACTTTTTGTGAATTTTGTTGGATCTTCATTGATAGCAAGCATGAGGATAAGACTTTGACAAATGGATGGACTTTACAGAGCTAAATGGTGGCTTAGGGAGGCTGTTTGTCTATGGGATAGGCTGACAAAGTGTGGAGCAAAACATGCAAGAAATATGATGCAAAGAGTCAGAAAAAGCTGCTCAGCCGCATGCACCATAGCTCCCGCAAGAAGCACCATCGCGCTCGCAACCATTAGTACCGCACCTGCGACCAGGCTTTTGCCAAACGACCAGCTCCCAGAAGTTTTCTCTATAACCTGCGAAGGGACATCGCGGCCGCAACCAAGGATTACCGCGCCTGCGAAAGTGCCCTGCCTCAGGTCTATTTAAAGGACCCTTTGCTCATTTGTTGAGGCACCTCTCCAAGACCATTTTGGCATCTCTCCAGAACATTTTCTATCTCTCCCAACACTCTCTAGAGTTCAACATTTCCAAACTTAGAGAGAGTTTATTTTGAGAGAGATCATTTTTGTAAGAGAGAAATATATTTTGAGAGAGATCATTCTTTATTTTGCTAAGGATCTTTCTTACATCCTTGTATTAGGAAAAAAATTGAAGTTCTATATGTGGTTGTGTGTGTGTGATTTGAGGCTACATGACCTAGTAAGGGAGCTATCTAGGAACTATGGCAGATGTTGAGATAGCACTACATCATTGGATACTAGCTAGGTCAAAGCAAAGATGGCTTTGGGAAAAGAAAGAGTGAGGAGTTGTTTTAGAGGTCTAGAAGTGAATAACCAAAAAGCAAGAGATGAAGATAGTTAGATCTTCTTTATGCATGAGGATGGAGGCTAAATTTACAAGGATTGGGTTGCATAGGCCAACTCACCCAGTGGCCTCAATAGCTGGAATGATGGTCAAGTGTGCTCAGATCTGAACAAGTTAGTTGTCTTTGTCACACTCTAGAGTTCTCTTCCTGTCAAGATCTCTCCAAGGTCGGTCAAGTGCAAGTCCCCCCAACGAGAATAATACGAGGCTTCTCGACAAATCTTCATTTCCAATATACCAAGTCCAAATTCCTACGATCTCATGTAAAGTCATGAGGTCTCTTGGGTGCCTCGTAATAGTGGCACCAAGCACAACGGTGTCCCAAGGCTCTTTTATCTAATGTAGAATGGCATGAGTGTATTAGGGTGACTGGAAAACAAGTGTAGAATCATATAAGAGATGGAAACTTGACTTGCCCAAGGGGGCCCAAGTGTGATGGCTCAAGTGGATACGAGCGTACACGGTGGACAGTCCCCTTAATTTTGGAAGGAAGGCCAAGTGCACCTATAAGGTTCCTTGGAGATAGCCTCCTTCAATTTTAATGCGAGAGATGCTACATGTGCAGTGGGTAGAGGTTTTGGGATAAAAGGATCCCATGCTCAATACAACTGTCATGGTGAAGCTATGAAGTACATGCAGATGTGATGATTACCTAAGGTCAGTCAAGTGCTTTCTGTATAAATGCGCAAAACAATTGAGTGCTTATTGTTTAGGAACCACTTTCTAGAAAAATGGTTTCTTGCCTAGGTGACCATTACCTTTGGGGTCTTCGGATAAGATACACTACCTGCTATTTTCAGAATTCAAAACTTTCAGCTATGAGCAACCCTTTCATATAGAGTAGCATTTCTATGTTGATTGTTCACATTGATTAAAAGCATAGGTTGTTTAAATTAATAACAAAATTTAAAAGTGGACGACAAGTTGAAATCACAAATCATAGGGCATAGAAATAATGTGAAAGCAATGCTAATTAATCTGGACTACACACTCAATAGTGAATGCTTGTCTTACAAAAGCATTTTGATATAGAAGCATGAAACTCAAGCCTTGTATCTTATTGTCAATGTTTCAAAAGATGAGTTACAATTACTAATCTGGAGTACATATCACTACTACCAATAAGGAATAAAGAGACATCACACAAGCAGCAAATTGGCCACGTATGACATGGGAATGAAATGGGAGAAACAGAACATATAATCCATGGGAATACGAAAAAGCCAAAATGATGTCAAACCCAAACAGGGAAAAAAATTACTTGAATTATGTCAAAAACCTTAAGTCTGATATCGTGAAATTAACACACGCACATATATATAACACGAATTGTAGGTAGCACAACTAACAGCATTTAGAAGGAGCAAATGTTGCATTTGTGCTCACCTTAGCAATGGAATCAATTTCATCAAATATGATGACGTGTAGGTCACTTTTAGCTCCTGAAAGAAAAGATTAAATGATCTCACTATAAAAGCACAATGAAGTGAATTTAGAATGAACATATGTATGCGTCTTTACCAAATTTATTTTCATCCCCAGCGGCTGCTTTAAAGAGTGACCTTATTTTCCTCTCTGATTCACCTTGGAATTCATCTAACACAACCGATCCATTTATAAACTTCATGAATGGGAGGAGAAAAAGAACTGTAAAAATAAGATTAAAAAAAAGTGGAGAGAGAGAGAGAGAGAGAGAGAGAGAGAGAGAGAGAGAGAGAGAGAGACCCAGGGCTCTTTTGCATTTAGAAATTTGTAAATGCTTCGTGCTATCAAGGTTTTTCCAGAAGCTGGTGGCCCATATTGAAGCATTCCTCTTACATGCTTCAAATTCAGCCTAGCACAAGAAAGTCAATAGTTAATAACTTATAGTAACTAGACTTGGGGAGGGGGGCCATGTATCATATGTTAAATAGGCTAGCCATCAAAAAAAGGGAAGCCCACCAAAAGTAGTTCAAATTGCCACAAGCATATGGAAGCAGATTTGGTCATGAAAGGACCCTACAAGCTTGAGATGTCCCCATGAAAATGAGTCTTGGGTATATTTCCAGTGTGTAACATTAAAAGAGATACCTTTATATGGATTCTTGCCCCTTGTGGCAAAGAGGTGGAAACAATAAACCACTTCATTTTGGTCTTTGTCCATGTACAAAGAGTGTGGCCTGTATGCCTTTTAGTTCTTACATTCTTTTAGGGACTACTATCTGTCTTGTAGCTATCCAAATATGGCAAATATCTAAATGGCCTGAGGATGTTCTTTGGAATCTGCTAGTATAGTTGGCAGCAGTAGGTGGCATATCTGGAAGGCATGTAATACAGGTAGTGTTTGAGAAGAGAGCTAGAGAGTTCAAATTACATAAATCCTAACCTGACTATTCAACCCATTTATCCTATTAGTTTATATTTAAATAAAATTTAGACTAAAATTACCCTCCAAAAATGGAATGGGTTCACAATTACTACCACAAGAAAGTTGCCCTATCATCACTTACTGTTATTTATTCTTGGATTCTAGGGGGAATTCACAACATTTTTTTCTAGTGTTCTTTTCTATTGATTAAGAGGTGACCTCATTGTTTATCCAAAAAAAAAAAAGAAGAGGCGACCTCTTCTTTTCATTCATTTGTGGGAATTTGATAATCTATCGCCTTTGTATCCTAACACTTCACAGTAGCTATTATCAAATTCTTCACCTCTGTCTTTTATACCCAACAACTTCAACATATTTTGCTACACTTTGTTGTACTTTTCAGTAATAAACTTGCTATAATAAATTTAGAAATATTAAAATAATTATGTTACTAGTTATTATTCATGTTATTGAGTAATCACAAGACAATAATATATTTAAAGATTATGATGTCTTTTAATTATAAAAATACCACCACTACGTACGTCAGTTGATGAAAAGATTATGCATAAGAATTCATAAGAATTATTTTTTTTTATATCAAAATCCTATCAAAGTTAGGGATCGACCTGAGGTTTATGGCTTAGAGCTAAAAATTTCTTTCCATACAAAAAACTAGCAAAGGACTCACAACAAGTTCCAATGGGGCATATTGAAACTACTCTGTTTCTTTCGCTTGTTAGCATACAAAACTATTTTCAAAGCATTTTTAAATATATATAAATATATATTAATTTTAAAAAGGTTACATTGATGTGATTAGGGATATGTATCAAATTGTGGTGACCACTATTAGATCGCCTACTAGAAAGACGAGTGAATTTCCAATTACTGTAGAGTTACACCAAGAATCAACCTTAAGTCCTTATCTTTTCGCTTTCGTTATGGATGAGTTGACGCGAAATATTCAGGATAATGTGCCATGGTATATGCTTTTTACAGATGATATCATGTTAGTAGATGGGACTAGAGGAGTTAATACTAAGTTGGAGACTTGGAGAAAGGCACTTGAATCTAAAGGATTTAGGATAAGTAGAACTAAGACAGAGTATATGGAGCGTAATTTTAGTAACAGTCACAACAGAAGCAGAGGAGAAGTGAAGATTGAGAATGAAAACTATCTAAGAGTGAACATTTTTTGTTATTTAGGATTGATTATCACAACGATTAGGGAGATTGGAGCGTATGTGGTCCATAAAATTAAGGCAAGGTAGCTTAAGTGAAGAAGTGCGTCAAGAGTCCTGTACGATAAACGAGTATCCACTGGACTAAAAGGGAAGTTCTATAGAACGGCTATTAGACCAGTGATGCTGTATGGATGGAATGTTGGACAACCAAGAAACAACATGTAAATAAGATGAATATTGCTAAGATGAAGATGTTAAGGTGGATGTGTGGCAAGATTAGAAAAGACAGAGTTAGGAATGAGTATATTCGAGAATGGGTAGGAGTAGTATCTATAGAAGATAAGTTGATAGATGGTTTGGTCATATACAACAGAGACCCACGGAGACAGTATTGAAGAGATGCGATACAATGACGGTAAATAGTAGTGTTAGGGAAAGGATAGACCTAGATTAACGTGGATTAATATAATAAATAAGAATACGAATCTCCTTAATTTGACTAACGAAATAGCATTGGATAGAGTCAAGTGGAGAAGAAGGATTCATGCAGCCAATCCCATTTGATTGGATTTAAGGCTTGGTTTGGTTTTCACACACCTCTATACTCCTATACATATACCGAGATTATTGACAGCTCAAAGGGTGTCAGCATTTTCCTTATTGAAGATATGTAGTAATTTGAATGAATAGCTAAATTACCAAAGGAAGCAACTATACTATAAGAGCCGGTTTGATTGGGCAGATTATAACATAGGATTAAGATTATCAATCCACGGGACTCACATTGCATTGTTTGGTTGCGATTTTTGTTATCTGGACAATGAACACTTTATCCAATAAAATTGACAGATTAATCCTACAACTAATAATGCAAAACAAATATATATATTGCAAAACAAACGTGAATAAGAAGGAATTATTTATCTCAATAATTCAGCAGAATAACCAATCTTACAATAAATCTAAATACCTCTTTGCTACAGAAGGAGGAACCATCCATGAGCCAAATGCAGACTGTAGTATTTGAGCAAATTGGGATGTCATGCCTCCAATACCAAGTGATATCAGTACTTCTTCCAGTGATTCCGTATTGAAGCCTTCCCTAAATATGTTTTTAAATGTTTCAGCTCCACGGATTAGGGCACCCTGAGATCAACCATGCCAACAACTTTGAATAATTCTTACTGTTCACAAAAACATATATACATATGGACTCTCTATATAGGTAGGTGCGTGCATCTATTACAGATCTATTTGTACTCGGAGCTTCTGAAGACATGGCCACCAACGATGAGCCGAGCACTCAGCGACCGGGGCACACAGTTAAAACTCAGATCGGACCGTTAGAACAGACAGAAACCTACATCTAGTGGCCCACCGTTCGATGTCATGAAGAGATGTGGTTTCGGCCATGGGGCTCGTTGAAGAGAGAGAGAGAGAGATATATGAATAAAGTAGAGAAGGGAAGGTAAAATTGTCACATTTACGTGGCATAAACACAAAATTCAAAAAAAAAAAAAATTGACATAAACTTGAACAGTTCAATTGGTGGACTGGAGTGTATTGTTGGACTCGTGAAATCTATCATGGGTTTTATTTTGATAATTTAAACGGTTTGTAGAGCTCTTTAATTGATTTATACGTGCAAAAAATTACATTGATCGGATATCGCTATCTCTTTGATCGGAACACATTTTTGTCAATAATAAATATGATTTTAAAAATAAATTATTAACAAAAATGTGTTCCGATTAACGTGATTTTTTTGCAAGTATGAAGTATCTGATGAGCTCTACACATTAAATAGTTCGGATTATCGAAACGAGACCCGTGATGAGTCTTATGGGCCCAACAATATACTCTAGTCTACACAGTAAACTGGAAAGAAGCCTCTCCTAAGAAAATATCATAACAAAACACAATTAGATATAATTAAAGAATTCATAAGTCATAACTAAAATAATATTATAATTAAAAAAAATAGTCCTAACAAAAAAGAAAATAGTATAATTAGAGACATATATAATATATTTTTTAAACAATTATGTATATTAAAATTTCCCTAATAATAATATAAGAAACTTGTCACGCAACTCTACCTTTAAAATGGTATATATTAGAATTTTTTTAATAATAATATAAAAAAAATTGTCACGTAACTCTATTACAAAATTGTGTAAATTTTTACAAATTTAAGTCACTTTTTGAATTTATAAAAATGTAAATATTTTTATGATAAAATTCATACCATTACACACTAGAACATTTTTCATACAAATAGAGAAATGTCAGAGACTAACAAACACAGTAGTCATTCATTACCAGTGATTGTGGAACTTCAACTATGGCTTTTGTGCGCTTACGGATCATCCCTTGCTTTGGGGTGGTTTGGGATTCACTCTCATGGAGAGAAACTTCCACAACACTGTAGACATACAAGCTTCCTTTATATGCAAATACCGTTCTCTGATATTCAGTAAAAACCTGCACATCCACAAAGTGACCATGTCACTTATCAATCAGTTTTATTAATTAAATTTATTTATTTATAAATATTGATTAATAAATTTATTATTATAAATTTATTCATAAAATAAGATATTAATCAATTTATCAATAATTTTTTGGGCAAATTATCTACACCTCCTTAAGATTTAACTAAATTACAAATTCTCCCTCAGGTTTCAAAAATTACATCCCACCCCAGAGAAATTCTATTTCCACACACTAAGTTTACTTACTCCACACACTTGAATAAATTTTTTCAGAATCATAATTTTATCCTTAAGTAAATTACCAACCACCTCTTTCCTCTCTAGTTGCTGATGAACCAGACTATCACCATTGTCACCTTTCCAGCCTCGTTACACCACTGCCATTGTCGTCTCCATTCCAACCCGTCACTCAACCATCACCTTCGTCACTTCATGTCACATCCTCAAAAATAGTACAAGACAACCATTCACAAATAGTCATAAACATAAGAGAAATATCATTTCTTCATTCATCAGAGTTTCCTTTACAAAAGACATTACATGCATTACATTTTCATAAACATTAATCTTGAAACTATAGCAAGTAACTCTAACTTCTAAACAACAAAAATAAGTGCCCAAAGGGCTTACAGCTTTCCAAGTTAACACTTGGTTACAATAAAAGAAGAGTTCTATCTCTTTACATATGAAGCCCTTGGCTTGAAATTCTACATTTAACACCAAACAAAATATACAAAATGGAGTCTTCAACCCCTAACCTCTCAAGCTATGTCCTTGGAGGTGGCATGTCCCCTGTACCTGAAAAATGGTGTCCCAAGTAGGGTGAGCCAAAGCGCAGTAGAGATATGCTAAACAGTATATGAGAATTAACTACAACATTAGCATCCGATAAATGTTTAACACTTGAAAACCAATCTACACCTTCTCCATAACCAATCAACATTGACATCCATACTTCCATTCATTTACATTTACTTATCCAGATCAATTCATGGACGTAATTCATCATCATTTAAACAATTCAAAATGAGACTACAACTCATTTATCAACACTTCAATCATAAACATTTATTCATACACTTCCATTTCTTTGCTATTTTACGGAACTACGTTCGAGGGAACCGGCACCCATATATATATATGTTTTCGGGACTTTCACCCTAGACACTCTGGCCAACTTAATTATCAATGGAGTCCATCCCCTTTCTCCTCCCAAACAATAGAGTACATCCCCTATCTCCTTCTAAACAAGATACATATGCAATGTATTCAAACACGTTGTCATATACAATGACCAAACCGTCATATTCAATGACATAGCCCAATTGATTAGTTTCAATTCACCTAATCATCATGTAGTTTCTACAACAATCATGGCTATCCTCCACCAATAACCCAAAGCAGATATTTCTAAACAGATAAATAAATCTAACAATAGATAATTTATCAACTTTTCCAAAGGTGAGTAATTCATAAATTCAACTACACCGTTTAATCATATGTTCCTTCAATTCCAAAATTTCCAAACCAATCTCGTTATTTATACAAATAACTTATTTAATAAAATTAGGGCAAATCTCCTCCTTTATCAAATATTATACCAAAGACCAAATCAATTCCTTTGAAGTCATAACATGTTCAAGACCCCTCATGCCCATAAGGAACTCAAATAGAAAACCCCTCTTTTATATACATAGGAACTAACCAAAAAGTTACCAAAAACCTTCTCAAGTCACACCATCTATACAAGATGACAATATCTATGTTAAAACACATATAGGAGAGTAGAATATCCCTACCTCAAACTTAGAAGAGGAAGAAAGAAGAAAAACCCAAAAATTGACGGAGGAGAAACCAAGCTTTGCTCCGATCAAAATGAAGCCCTCGACAAGCTCTACACTTTACCTCAAAGGAGCAAGGTGAGAAGAGGCCTTCAAGCATGTAGATCTAAGGATTTATGGGTGAAAAGTGCCTTTTTGAGAATGAGAGAGACAGTGTTTCATGGTTTAGAGGGAGGAAAGAGAATAAAAAGTAAAGGAAAGGGTTAAGTGAGGACCTATTTATAGTACTAAGTCAAAAATAGAAATAAGCCCCAAAGTCAACTCAAAATATCTAGTCAAAATATCCCCAAAAAGTAGGCCCAAACCGACAAAAAAAATGTAGAAAAAGTCGCAGGTGTCGACCCCCCTGCAACACAGGTGTCGACACCCAAGAAGAAAATCTGGAACACTAAGTTTGCTTGCACTGCAGGTGTTGACCTTTCCCCAGGCTAGTGTCGACACCAAAATGCAGTGGGCAACTTCAGAATAAGGGTCGACCCTTCCCAGATTGGTGTCGACCCTTGCAGCCAACAAAAAGAGAAGGGGTCGACAACACCAAGACCGATGTCGACACCAAAAAGCAGTGAACAAATTTAGAACAAGGGTCGATCCTTCCCAGATTGGTGTCGACCCTTTTGGCCAACTAAAAGAGAAGGTGTCGACATCACCAAGACTAATGTCGACCCCAGAACATGATTTTCAAGTTTCCAAACAACTTTTCAATGCGAACAAGCGTGAACGAGCAATCCCAACAAGTTTAAATCATTTGTATACCTCCAAAACTAAGGTACAACAACACCAAAGTTTTCCAAAATAAAATAAAGGGTTCAAATACAGTTACCAAAAGTTTTAATGGACACAAGTGCTACACTTCAGCGATCATCCCCAACGACCCACCACTCTGCGAGCACCACCATTTCCTTCTCTTCTTCATCTTTAGTTCTGATACGGCAACCCCCAGCCACCACTGTAACTCGCGCCATCGTTGAGGCTACAACCTTCCATCATGACCCATCCTCCAGATCCACTCCACAGCGTGACCCAACTCCTCAACCTTTCAATCCGAGAGAGAGAGAGAGAGAGATAAAGATTAATTTAGGTTTCCAAATCCAGGGTTTGAAGAGAAAAAAAAGAAAAGGCTAGGGATGGAAACAGAGGGGAAATGAGGGGCGATAGGGGTAAGGGTTGTGGGCGGTTGCAATGGGGGATCCATGGAGTGAGAAATTGTGAAGGAGCTGGGAGTGGAAGATGGAGAGGGGGATGACCTCGACTGGAGAGAGACGACGGCGAAAAGGGGTTTGCAGTGGTGATGCCACCAGTAGGGAGATGTTAGGGTTAGGGTTAGGGTTAGAGTTGGAATAGGTTGGGTTGAGAAAGATGGGGATATTTTTGAAATTTTTGAAAATTGATGATGCGCGTTGAGCAAAAATAAGAAAGTCAAAATTGTGTTTGGTGTATATTGAGTAAATGGTGTATACTAAGAGAATTTGTGAGGTGGAAATAGAATTATCCCCCACCCCATTACAATTAATGCCATTGATGGAGATAGTAAATTGACTAAAATGTCCCTAACTATGTTATGTAGAGAAATGATGATATTTGGTTGATATATCATGTCAAGTCAGTCAATAGTTGTTCAATACTTGTTTTAGAAATTTTAAAAAAAAATTAAAAATTAATTTGATTAAGAAATAAAAAAATAATAAATAATTATCATTTTATATAATTTTATTTTTGAGAGGTTAGAAATAATTTTTACAAATTAAATATATTTTTTCATATTTATTTTTATGAAATTAGTTTCTATTTTTTCAAAAAAAAAATTCTGAATTTTTTTCTAAACAACAAATCAAATATGGTTCCAAAAACTTAGATAACATTTGGTTTAGAACTCAAATCATGATTTCAATAAAAAAAATTCAAAACTCATGCCTTATCTTTTTTCAAAATTCTTTACAGAACTCTATTTAAAAAAAAATAATAATTCATTTTTTCCTTGAAAAAAATTATTTATTATTTATTTCAGAAAATATTATTTTTATTTTTATTTTTATTTTTGAAGTTTTTTTTTAAAATTTTTGAAGAAACTTTTTGTTGTTATTTTTTAAGTATTTGCCAAATAATTTGCTGTGATTTAGACATATATAGGTGATTCAAAAATTTTTAATTCAGGTTGTTCAGTGCTTTGAAAACGTAGCAGGGACAATATCATCCATCAAGATCTATTTTCGTGATGTCAGCATATTTTTGTTAACAATTCCTAATATTTACTTCGCGGGAGGAGGTAAATTGTTATGCGAATATAAACCTTGGGGGCGAGATGTAATTTATGAAACCTAAGGGGGGAATGTGTAATTTAGTTAAACTTCAAGGGGGTGTAGATAATTTTCCCTAAGATTTAATGAGTAATAAGTCACAAAATATGACCTATGGATAATTTATCCCAATTTGAATTGTGTATTAAAAACATCTCTTATCATTTATCAATTTGTCCATCAAATTTTATTATGAATTTGAGTAAAAAAAACTTAGGTAGTATTTGGTTTAATTTTTAAATTAACTTTTAGATTGAAAAATTAAAAAATATGTTTGGTTTATCATTTTTCAAAATTATTTCTTCTCTCTCCTCTCCTCTCTTCTCTTTTTTTTTTTTTTTTCTTTTTACACATTAATCAATCATTTTTTTTCTCCTCTCTCCTCTCTCGTTTTCTCACATTTTGCACATTAATCAATCAAACAATTTTTCTCTACACCCATCTATTCAAAAAAAAAAAAAAAAAAAAACTACAAATCATTTCAAAATTATTTTCAAAACTCGTAAGTAAACAAGTTTTTAATTTTAAAAATCTTTTTAAACACTTATCTTTCAAAATATAATTAAAACTCGAAACTCTTTTTAAAAACTAAACCAAACATAGCCTTAATTTGATATGAACTATTTCAATCATTTCATTAAATTTTCATTAAAATCTTTTTAAAAATTTCTCTATTATCCCAAATTGCACTTTTTATCAAATTTGATTAAAGAAAATTATCTCCAATACTTCATCTTTTTATCAAATTGAAATTTGATAAAAAATTTGATAGTTAATTTGATGAAAAAATGATTCTCTCTTGATTTGATGGAAGGATTTGACAAATTTTAAGCATTTTTTTAGTATCAAATTTAAATTTGATATAAAAAAAATAAAAAAATTTTTGAAGATTAGAGATGCTCTAATAATGCATCAACTAATTACTAGTACTTAAAAAAAAAAAAAAATCCCTGAAAAAACATCTGATTGTGGAATGTCCTTATAAATTCTCTCCCCATGGTCGAAGCCATTATCTACACAATAATGAAATTTGATCAGTGATGATTTATTAAAAAGTTTCGCTGCTGAATGTAAATACATTCATATAGAATTGCATACCATTTGAATTGAACTTGAACTTTCAGGATGTAATTCAACCATGATTTTCAATACATCCACATCAAACCCATTCAATGGTGGAACAAACCTATAAATCAATAATATACTACTTTTTAAAATGAAATTGCAGAATTCATGTAAATATATCTATGTAGGCTATAACACACAAACACAATATTCATGTAGATTGAACTTACACTTTCAAAAGGATGGTACCTCCCAGTGAAACATCAAGAGATTTGCAATGCTCTGAATTTAAAGATATGTGGCCCTTTGCAACTTTCTCATCTGCTGTACTCTTTATTAGTTAAGGTATAGCAGCAATACCCAAAATTTAAGCCAAAAAAACAAAAACAACCCAAATCTCTATTTTCGGTTTTTCACCACAACTTTGAATAAAATTGTTTTTCAATGAGATTAAAAAACAAGCAAAAAAATAGACCAACAAACTAATCAAAACTCTTGACTCTTTTGAGGATATTGAATGGTAAATACCATCGTGCCATTGACAAGAGCAAGGTAGAGCTTCTTTCCTGTAGTGAAAGGCCGTGAAGGTCCTCGTCGAAGGCTCACAGCAAATTGGTTTAGATTGTCTGGACAATAGTAACATGAATTGGAGAAACACTGCTCTGTAGTAGTATTCTGTACAACAAATGGGACACTACTACTAGAAGCCATGGACGATGAAGAGGAATGTGGTGGCCTATATGCGAAAGGTGTGTTTATATAATATGTATAAAGCCTCGTAGCTCAATTGGTCATAAAATCTTTTTCAACATCAGAGCGGCCATATGAATGCCAAGGTGGTTAAAAACTTGTCAACATCAGAGAGGCAGTATGAACACCATCCGCCCAAGAACTCATTGAAATTTGTCCACGTTAGAGAGGTCATATGAACGCCAAGGAATTCCTTAAAAATCTGTCAACATCAGAGAGACCATATGACCACTAAGGTGGTGTTTGTTTTGAAGGATTGAGGGGTGGGATTGGACTATTAGTCCATCCGTTGTTTGGTTCAAAATTTTTGCACCAGACTATTAGTCCCTCCAAACTATTAGTCCCAAATTCATTGAACTATTGTGTCCTATGAGGGGGGTGGGACACAAATGGAGGGGAGCTTCTATTTACACACACCCAATCCACTCTATACACACACTTAATGATATTTATTTTTATTATAATTTTATCCCTAAGTGAAATTATTATTTTGGACATCATACCCAATTCAAATAAACAAACGTTCTCATTGCACATCCAGACTTCACATCCATCACGTTGAAGCTGTTGAAGCTCTAAGTCCATTGTAGCTACTCCTTCTTCCATTGAAGCCGTTGAAGCTCCAAGTCCATTCGTAGCTTTCCATTTCCATTAGTTTACACACTAACCTCATCTTCAAGAGGATTTCTCTTCTGAAAATTCAGATTTTCAGAACCAAATAAATGTTTATGAGAAAGATAGCCAAGGAAATGTGAGTTTTGTAATGTAAAAGTCTTCTTTTTTTTTTCTTCAGCGTCTTTCAGATAACCAGAGTCGAAATATATCACTTTGTTATAATAATTTCGGAACTTGTTGTCAAAATAATTTAAATTTTACGACATTCAACTTCCGAAATTTTAAAATTAATTCGGACAACTACATTCGAAAATTAGCATTTTGTTTGACACTGTACTTCAGAATGAAGTAATTTTTTTTTCCATTTTATATTCCAAATTTGTAAACTGCATACTAAATTTATAGTTTCGAATTGCAAATTAATCTTTATAATGCCATTTCAAATTTGTAATGTTATACAAAACATGTAGGAATATGTGTCAACTCAAGGAAGTCAGGTTTGCACAGATAATGTGTTGGATTACACTACTCAATTCACAACTGAGCAGGTTCACTCTTCGAAATTATAATGATTATGTTTTGAATTGCTCAACAAATGTAAATGCTTGATAATATTTATTTGACTTTGTAGGTATTCAAAAGTAAGGATGAATTGCTCAACTGAGTATGTGAAGTTGGAAAGAGAAATGGTTTGCTCATTGTAATCAAAATATCAGACTATGGTGGTGGAGGGAAAAAAAGACCAAGGATGTATCTTGCTTGTGAGAGGAGTAGCCAATATAGAGCGACAAAGACGTTAAAACATGATGGCAACAATACATCAAGAATAACTGGTACGAAAAAGTGTGGTTGTCCTTTTGATATGAGGGCTCACAGGTTTACCACACATGATGAATGGACATTGACCGTAGTATGCGGATTACATAACCATCCACATACGGAGCACCTTGAGGGACATTCATATGCGGGGAGGCTGTAAAAGGATGAGAAAACATTGTTAATGGATATGTCAAAGAGCATGGTTAGGCCAAAAGAAATACTAGTAACCTTGAAACAGTGAGATGCCCTCAATATAAGCACACTTAAAACCATTTACAATATACACCATCGAAACAGGGTGGTACAGAGAGCTGGAAGATCATAGATGCAACACTTATTGGATGAATTGGCCAAGTATAATTACATTGAGCGCCATTGATGTGAAGAGTCCACGATGACTGTGACAGACTTAATTTGGGCACATCCTACCAGTTTGGACTTATTTCGGTCTTTCCCACGTATATTGATTATGGATTAGACATATAAAACCAACAGATATCGTCTTCCTCTTCTTGAAATTGTGGGAGTACTGAAATGACTTTCTCTGTAGCTTTCGCATACTTACAGTGTGAGAGGGCCGATAACTATGCGTGGGTGTTAGCTACATTGCGTGATGTCATGGATGGTTTTGTTTTGCCAGCAATTATTGTTACTGACAGAGAGCTAGCCTTGATGAATGACATACAGAAGATATTCCCGAGTGGCAGACATTTATTATGTCGTTGGTATATCAGTAAGAATGTATTGACCAAATGCAAGAAAATGATTGAGACACAGCAAAAATAGGAGAAGTTCAACCATGAGTGGAACTCTTTAGTGTATTTATCTTTTGAAACTCAATATGATGAGCATCTTAAATCATTACTTAAGAAATTCAGTACTTATCCAAATGCAGTCAACTACGTCATGGATACTTGGTTGGTTCCTTACAAGGAGAAATTTATGGCGGCATGGACAGACACATGTATACATTGTGGCAACGTTACAACCAACCGGTAAGATTACTTTTGTTAAATATGTTATTAATAAGTGCCATGTACTTGATTTTTATTTGACTTACATTGAATTGAACAGGGCTGAGAGTGCACATGCAAAACTTAAAAGACAATTGGGTTCATGTCAAGTCTCATTTCAAGCATCATTTGAGAAAATACAAATTCTGCTTGAGTTGCAACACACTGATATCAAGGTTTCATTTGAGAAAAGTCTAACTGTTGTGCAACATCAATTTAAACCTTCTCAGTTCAGGGAGCTACGGGGTAATGTATCTATCTCTGCATTAGAGCATTTGCTTGTAGAGAGTAAGAGAGCCAATTCCATTGGTATTGATGCTGAAGCTTGTAGATGCATCCTTCACCACACTCATGGTTTACATTGTGCCCATGAGATTGCTGACTACATCAGACAAGAACATCCTATACCACTTGCTACCATACACTCACAGTGGAAGCAACTTCATATCTCCATATGCAACAAAGAAGAGGAAACGGAGGTGACTTGTCATATTCTACCGAAACTCGACCACGACCTCGACCACGACCACGACCACGACCACGACCCCTACCTCATCCTCGCCCATGCCCTCGTCTCCATTCATGGTCAACATCCAATTCATGACGTCGTCTATTTGAAGCAGTAGATGGGACACATTGTTAACATTCATAATCCATATTATCTGCAAATATTAATATATTTAATGACTATACAATTGTAAAAGGAAGATACAAAAGAGGAGGAAAAAAAAGAAAAGAAAAGAAAACTGTTCGGAAGTTGAAAATCGAAAATATATATTCTGTTCGGAAGTTGAAAACCAAAAAAAAAAAAAAATTTCGGAAGTTGAATGTTGTTCGAATTAAACATATTCGGAAGTTGAATGTCGAAAGAATGAAAACATTTCGGAAATCTACTGTTGAAATAAATGATAATTTTCAGATTTCTACTTCCAAACAACTTGTTTACTTTCGGAAAACCAGTTTCGAATAAGGAACATATTGTTCATTTCGGTGGGCTATGCGTTCGTTCGTTTCGAAAATGGTAAAAACAAACTCTACATTACAAATTAAATAGGAATGAGGATTGAAATAAGCAAACTAACCTAAGTTCTCCAAATGTGAAGAATTCCTTCAATGGTTCAATGACATTCTTCAATGCTTTAATGAGATATCTTGATGGATGCAGCTTTGGGGATGAAAGGTGTGAGAGATGGACTTGTGTGAGAGACGTGTGTGAGAGATGCAGCTTCAATGGGTGTGTATTTGCACCGTTCGGAGAGCTGGGTTTGAGGGTCTGGGTGTGTATGTGTATGAGGGTCGATGTGGAATGAAACGTATGTGCAGTGAGTAAAATAATTAGGGATTAATTTTTTAGGTGTGTGTAGTGAGAAGGATGTGCAAAGAGTGGATATTGTGTGTGCAAATAAAAGCTCCCCAAATGGAGGGAAGGGGGATATGAGATTAGGTGATGAAATGACCATTTTGACCCTCTACTATTTAATTATGTATTATATTTAGTAAAATTCAATAAAATTTAAATGTCTCAATTTAAAAATAAAATAATTTTATTTAATTTTTATTGATGTTTTATTTAATTAATTTTTTAAAATAATTTTTTATTGATATTTTATTGATGTTTTATTTTAAAATTTTGTTTATATTTTATTTAATTTCATTATTTAATTACTATTATTTCAAAAATAAATTTATTTAAAATTGTAATTAAAAAAATAACACATATTTTTATTGATATTTAATTTATTTAATTTAAAAAAAAATAAATTTATTTAATTGTGTAAAAAATAAAATAAAATAAATTTTTATTTAATTTAGTTAAAAATAATAAAAATAGTAAAGATATGTTTAATATTGCTATTACTTAGTATATAATTGAAAAGGATAAAATAGTCATTCGAACATTTATCCTTCTCCATAATATCTCAAACAAACATAGGATTCATATCCTATCCAACCAAATAGCTTTTTCCTGACATCTAATCCTATGACTAAACAAACATGGGATACAAATCCAGTCTAACCAAATAGTTCGAGAACAATATATCTCAGGATTAACAGTCTGGTGGATTCCAATCCCTCCTTATCTAGTTCGTCCAAACAAACACACCCTAAGGATGTAATTGGTTTGGTACGGTTAGTATTTATAAAAAAATTTATCGAACCGATAATGTCGGTTTTATTATTTTGAGAACTAATACAGACCGTTTCTCCCATCAAACTGCACCAAACAACACCAATTGAAACGGTTTAGTTTGGTGCGGTTTAATCGGTTTAGTATCTTTCAAATTTAAGCTATTTTTTAGTATAGTCATTCATCTATGTAAAAATATTGAATAAAAAATTTGTCAACCATTTCAAACATATCCTATGCATTCATTTTGATGGGCATGGCCAAGGAGAGGTTGTCTTGGGTTACCCAAACAGTCACTTGGCTGAAGCCCAGTAGAATAGGCCCAACACCAAGCCCAACACAGAACTCACAATGGCCAAGCCCAAGTACCAGCTAGGCAGGTATCA